GGTGCAATTACCTTCATTCGTTCCCTTCTTCCCCCTTCGCGTCGGTTTCCTGCCGATCCTAAACGTGACGTCAGCAATCCCCAGTCGACGAGTTCGTGCCTTACGGCCGAGAGCGTTGGACTTTTATTCAACGATTTCAGGCCTCGATGGTGCAACACCAGGGGTTGGGTATGGCTGGCTGATGATGACGACTTATAAGCTAAAAGTAGCCCCTCTAGTCCCCTGGTCTTTGTCCGTTATGACCTTCTGCTCATGCGCACCGTTTGAGCGCTCGCTTGTAGGCCGGTCGGGCGGGCTTGCTAACCATCGCCGAATTTTAAACCTAGTCTAAGCATGAAGAAAGTTGGCTTTTTTAACAGAACTGAATGTTAGCATGCCTAACTGCCTTGTTAGTCTGCATAAACACAAGCATCCTGTAATTATTTAACCAACAATCAATACACATGTAGAATGGAGGATTGGCTGCGTTAAAAAGGCCTAAAAGGAGATCTGTTTAATACACATAAGTAGGTACATAGTGGTACATATACAGGGCGTACAAAATATATTCTCAAAAATTTCGTGTATTGTATGAATAAATTGCATTGATAAGATCGGGTAAATCTCTGGCTAGGTCAAAAGTTGCTGGTAGTTTTAATTGGGGAAGGAGCAACTGGAGTACAGTAAAAATTCGCTGCCTCAGCATTTCCACACAGTGTCCGGGTTCAGGACACAGGGAGACAAGGGGCAATCGCATTAGCTGGTCCGGCTGTCTTTTAATCCTACCTGAACTGGTGAGTTCGCTGATTATCCTCAAAAGTAGCCGGTCCAAATCGGCCGACGTGGGATCGAAGGTGTCACTCAAATCAATGTTTGGGATTAGGTGTTTAAGGAGGGTGAAGAACTGCCGCCGAAGGACTGTTAGTTCATCATAGGCCGCCAAGTGACGCGAAATAAAGTCCGCCTGTTCGTGCTCATCAAGAGCATCCATCCAGGACTCAAGTCGAGACGCAAGTTCTTGAAGAACACTAGAAGCTATAGTTGAGAGACTTTGTTCATAGAGTGGACCGTGGAAGAAGGGGGGTAAATTTTCGAGGAGTTGTGAGTCCATACAGCTAAGATTAACAGGATACGATACAGAAAAAGTGTCCACGAAGTCAAATAGATAGACTTCATCTGGCTCATCAGAACGAGAAGAGTTGTGTTGGATACCTAACTGGTAGAACTCGTCTACCGTTACGGCCGTACCCTGAATATCCACGTATTCGCGGTTTACAACTGGCTTGCAAACTTCTTCACGACGTAACAAGTGAGCATAGCCGTTTTCCTGTAGGGTTACGTATTACCCGGAAAGACGAAAGTTACCTTGGAAAGTGCCAGTTGTGTGTCGTCAATCGGGCAGTGGTTTTGGAGAAAGAGTTCTAAGTTTTCTTGTCGAAACTTTGTTTTTGATGGAGGCACTTCTGAATCCTTGGCATTATAGATAGTAAAAATAACTTACCAGGCAGTTTGGTAACCTTTCGTGCAGTCATCGTAACATTCT